CTAAACCAGAATCCTCCTGAGTTAGCAACTCCGCAGCTGAGATCCATACAAATACACCTAGTCATTACACATGGTATGGTGGCCTAGTGGAGATCTCAGCAATCTTAAGGGTAGGCCTCATCTCCCTATCCTGTCTATGTCACATATATTCTTCCGACATTTATACACTGATTTCTGGAACGTTCCTAAAAGGCTACCAGCTCTGTTCTTTTTTTGAAGAGCAGATATCAACATAAATACAGCATACAGCAGATATTCATGTTGATGTGCCAACAGGCTAACACTTTCATTCTGGGATTAGACCTCATCTCCATTTCCTGTTTCTATTGGACACTTTGAGAGTATGATGACCTTTTGGAGACCTCAGGAATTCTGGGCATAGGTTTAATCTACCCCTAACCTGTCTATACTGGAAGTGCCTGCGCTATGGTGGCCTGGTGGAGATCTGAGGAATTCTGGGTGTAGGATTCACTTTATTATTCTGTCTATGCTGGACATTTCCAGGGTATAGAGACCTGGTGGGGACCTCAGAAATTCTGGGAGTAGGTCTCACCTCCCTATCTTTGTCTATACTGGACAATCCCATGGTATAGGGCCTTGTGGAGACCTCAGGAATTCTAGGAGAAAGCCTCACCTTCTATCCGGTCTACACTGCACTCTTCTATGGTATGGTGGCCTTGTGAGAACTCAGAAATTCTGGGTGTAGGTTTACCCTCCCTATCTTGTCTATAATGGAAACTCCTGGGGTATGGTGACCTGGTGGAAATCTGAGGAATTCAGGGAGTAGATCTTACCTCACTATCCTGTCTATACTGGACACTCTCAGAATATGATAGCCAGGTGGAGGCCACAGAAATTCTCAGAGTAGGCCTAACCGCCCTATGTTGTCTATACTGGACACTCCAATGGTAATGGGGCCTAGTGGAATTCTATGAGCAGGCCTCACCTGCCAATAATGTCTATACTGGACACTCCTATAGTATGGGGGCCCAGTGGAGACCTCAGGGATTCCAGCATACTGGGCACTGCCAGGGTATGGCAGTCTGATGGTCTGAGGAATTCTGAGAACAAGCCTCATTATCCTGTCTGTACTGGACACTACGATGTTATACTGGACACTCCCTGGTTACGATGGCCCGGTGGAGACCTTAGAAATTCTGGTAATACACTTCAAAGCCCCCCCCTGCTGTCGTTACTAGACCCTCCCAGGCCATGGTGGCCTATTAAAGATCTCAGGAATTATGAGGTGACAACCTCTTTATTGAATGCTACAACCTGCATATAAAATGAGGTCTATGTGCTCGTCCCCAAACACTCACATAGACAGACCTGCTTCTTTTAGCGTGTGTGATTTCCATTTGTGGGGGAAGGTGTGAAGACCTGTCTATCCTAACAGATGTTGTGACTGTTCAGGAGATGAATGAATGGGGTCTGGTGTTGTGCACAAGGAAGTGAGTAAGTGATGGTCCTGAATCTAGTGGCCTCAGAAATTTGTGGGAGACTTAAAGCGGCACCAGGCCACACTCTGATGTCATTACAGAAACTTGACAGCTAGGTAAAGCTGTGCCAGGCCTAATGCTAGTGAGCTCAGAGATTTGCGTGATGGGTGAAGCTGTAGTTCTTTATAAAGTGCCATGCACAAGAGTGTTCTTCATATACTAGAAGTGATAAACCCATTGGTATGATGAACACGTTGTCTTATTCTGGGCTCTGTTCCCCTTTAAAGCAGACATTGGGATTAATAAACAGAGGGAATGGAAGGCCCATGTTTTACCCACCCACCAGGAGCCCACCCCACACTTGCCTCTTCCCCCTCCAGACATGGATCACCCTTACCTATTGGACGAAGGAGCTCATGACGTCAACACTGCTCAGATAGCTGAGATCAATCAGAAATAGACACAGTTACTCAGGGCAGTGCAGGGAGGGTGGAGGCTGGATTGGGGGGGTGTACATGCCACTATGGAAGCCACCATATAAATGTGCACCTTGATTCTAACATGTTAGAGAGGCCAAATAACAAGATCTTAGCAGGTCTCTACACACACACTCACTCATCCATCATAATCTTCTGACATTTATATTCTGCTCTCTGGAACCTTCAGATATCAATATGAATCCTCCATTTATACCATCAGATCTTCATGTTGATATCTCAACAGGCTCCGTTGGAAAAGAGAAAACAAAAACACATTGGACACAAGACAGAGGGGATTACATTGGTAATAAACATTGCCACGTTACTGCGAGACTGGTGGGATGAGACACGGAAGATGGAATAATAGGAGAGATAATGCCTCCTTTGTCTTATGTAGCTTCAATACGCCATCTTGTTATGATCTGGAGATACCCCGGGAGCTTCTCTCTCCAATGCCTAAGCTTTCCACATGGTGTGATAATCAAGGAAATCACCATTTATATGGAGCACACACACTGCTGGGATATATAGGGGAAGATTCTGCTGAACAAAAAAAAAACCTTTTCTAAACGGACCGATTTCTACCAAATCGGAGATCCGGCAAACGTTCTATTCTATATAAGGCCGGGCACACACCTTACAACCATGGTTGTAAGGTACTTTAAAAAAACGTACGATCTGCCTATCTTGGACAGGCAGATCGTACTTGCGATGCTCACAAGCCCCACCCGCCTGAGGGGCGGGCTTCCGATGACCGCAATGCCGAAGGGGCAGTGTGTGCTTGCGCACACCGGCCCGCCCGGCTTTTATCTTACGAACATGCTACACACCCGCCGAACGTCGTACGATTCTCGACGGGTTTTCGAATATGTTCGTAAGTTTAAAGTCGTGCCACCGTACAGTAGTAGAGGTCGCACGGCTTCCACACACCTTACGATAATCGTACGATCGCGGGATTTCCCGTGATTATCGTAAGGTGTGTGGGCACCCTAACGCATTGTGGGAGGATTCTGTCCAGGGGCAGTAAGACAGACAGACAGACATTGAACATGACACAGAAATATACATTCTCCGTGTTCTGGCTCCATGCTGAACTGTGTACATGGTACATACAAAGTGTGTAACATTGATGACATTGTCCTCCTAAAGCCGGTACACTAAATTATATAAAATAACAATGAGAAGAACCGCAGAGAGCACAACACGTTTTATTAGACACAATGCAAAAGGTTACAGTGGTTTATTGCCATTTACTGACACACACAACATGAGTGATGAGGCCGTCTGCGCTGTGTTCACACAGAGTGCCGTTCGCATCTACAACAGATCACAGCATGGCCCGCGCGCTCTGCCGGTTTACGATGTCCAGGCCGTGTACGGCCGATCTATGTGCCGCGATTATCTACAGGCGCAGCTAAGAATGTTGCGGGTTTAGAAAGTGGAATTTGGCACATTGTGCGAATAGTGTTCACTATGGCAGGGGGAGCTACAACTATGTCAATATTCACCATATAGGTACCAACAACAGATCCGAGTCACCATGTGTCAGCTCGGTGGGCTGTGATGCCTCTTATCAAGAGTAAGTCTGTGATTTGTTTAGTAACTACAGCTACAATGGTTTGTACTCTACTGGCGCCATCCAAACCTCTAGACAAAAACAGAACCAACAACTCATCTCTGTCTGTTTTGCTTTTTGGAGTATGGCCGTGTGCGCGATACCCCAGGGGGGCCAATGGTTAATGGAAGGTCAGGTGTCCAGGCCCCTAGGTAATTATGGTTTAGGTGTCCAGGCCCCTTGGTAATTATGGTTTAGGTGTCCAGGCCCCTTGGTAATTATGGTTTAGGTGTCCAGGCCCCTAGGTAATGATCGGTTCAGTACAAACATGTTGCATTACACAAATGGCCAAATAATGGCCCCATTCATAAAGTGCTTTTCCTTGTCACTGGCGGTAATACTATCAGCAGTGGGATCTTCTCCCTCGCGGATGTCTCAGTACGGTGGCAATGTTTTACCAACATAAAATCAAAAATCTAGTGTCCAGGCCCCTAGGTAATTATGGTTTAGGTGTCCAGGCCCCTTGGTAATTATGGTTTAGGTGTCCAGGCCCCTTGGTAATTATGGTTTAGGTGTCCAGGCCCCTAGGTAATGATCGGTTCAGTACAAACATGTTGCATTACACAAATGGCCAAATAATGGCCCCATTCATAAAGTGCTTTTCCTTGTCACTGGCGGTAATACTATCAGCAGTGGGATCTTCTCCCTCGCGGATGTCTCAGTACGGTGGCAATGTTTTACCAACATAAAATCAAAAATCTTCATAAAACATGCTGAAAGAAATATCAACATTTCATGTTAAATGCTTTGCTGGCTTTGTCCATTAGGTGAAAAATCCACAACTTTTCAGTGTGCCCCAGTGCCGGGGGGGGGGGGGGGGACAGCTT